CAAAGGAAGGCGGGCGTAATGGTTAACCCCTAGGACAAATTTCCGCCCCCCCCCCCCCCCCCCAAGCAAGATTGCCGAAGAAGGATCAAGCAACTATTGCGGGTACCGACACCAAATCGCGAAGCAGCTACATCAAACGTTCCAAAACCACCTAAAAACGATAGCAACGAACGGATGTACGGAAAGACAACGATGAAGGTATTTGAAGGGTTACCTGGCTGTTTGCACGGCCCCCTCCTCCTTCGCCGCATCGGCTAGGAAACCCACCCCCTTCTCCGCCATGCTCTTCTCCAGCGCCTCGTTGCGCGCCTGGAGGATGTTGTTCACCTTTAGGCGAGATTGAAGGAAAAACAAAAAAAACGCAACCAAACGAGAGTGATGGGAGAGAGACAAGAAAAGATAAATAGAGAGGAGAGAGGAGAGAGGAGAGAAGACGACTGGCGTTGATCATCCAAAAAAATCACGGTGGGCGTACCAGATGATGGCGTAAAACGCCGCCACGTTCCATTGAGTACCCCCCCCCCCTTCCTGCTGATCACACGCAAATGAATGAAACTAGACAAGCCGAGAAAAACAGTCAGTGGATTAAAAAGGTCGGCTGTCGTGAGACAGACCAGGATTGAGCCTACCTTATCTTCTCCCTCACAGGTTACCTACCCCCCTCACCTTCTCCGCGTACTGGCTGTGGTCCAGCTGCATCCCCGACTCCAGCCAGTGGTCGCTGAACCCCATGAGCCCGATCTTTCTCTCCTCTACGGTAAGCAGCTGTGCGGCCGTGCGTGTACAAAAACGGTTTCCATAGAACAGCAGTCATTAGGGGGGGAAATCAGACAAGAAGGGAGCGGAAGGAAGGGAAGGAAGTGGGAGAGGGAGAGAGAGGGACACACAAAAAAAGCCATGGTGCGTCAAGGGAGGTTCCAGTTGCTTTGTCCGACCGATCTTGGTCGGTTTTTCCTAGCGGGATCAGCAACTGACATACGACTTTAATGTAAAGACAACAACAACAACAACAACAACAACTGACAACAACAACAGCAGATAGCAGCAGCGGCGAAGCTGGTGTCCCCCCAAAGGGGCAAAAGCCGATCTCCGCCTCTCGTCATGGATTGGCACGCCCCCCGTTAGTCTCGGAAGTGCTACACGATACACATCTCTTCCTCCGGTACCGCACTGGCATCTACGAGGCTGCCTTTTCGGCACACCCACCCCATGTACAACAATGCCAACGACTGGAACGTACGTAAGGCCATGATGGTCTACACTTGTGTCCCTACACTTGTGTGTCCAATCCAAGCAAGTCACGAGGAGGTGCAGCAGTACACCGTGCTTCACCTTCCTGAACTGGTCGGTCTGGGTGGCGAGTGCTGCGCCGAAGGCGTACATGCACTTGTCCTCCTCGCTCTCGAGCGCCATCTTCGTCGGCTGTTGCCGGGAGGGAGGGAGGGTGGGAGGGAGATCAATAACGTTCTTACACCCACACGCACAAGCCGTTCCAAGCAAGAAGGGGGGGGGGGGGGGGGGGGGGAACCCAAAGCCGGGCTGCCCCAAACCTTAAAACCTTTAACCCCCCCCCC